TTTTACACAATTTGCTTATAGCAAAGAATTACTTTGCTATAAGCAAGCATTTACCTGAATGACCGATTCATTCAGGGTTTTTTTTTTTTTTGTGCTTAGCTGTGATTTGGCCACAGCTAATCACATGACATGTGCATGTGATCGCTGTGACCATTCACAGCTAGACACTAGTATACAATGGATGGCATGAATGAAGCCATCCATTGTATACAACTGTCATGTGACCTGCTGTGATTGGTCACAGCAGGTCACATGGTACCGCCAACGGGAGGCCGGTACTCAGATCTGTCATCGGCAATGTCCTAGGTACACGGCCGGTGACAGATCGTGCCACTGCGCGGCTCTGCAAGCGCGAAAACTGCACATGTGCGAGAGGACGCCATATGACGTCCACCCGGAAATCTACAGCCTTTTCCCGGCCGCCAACCGGCTATTGGTTAAATAAGACAAATAAACACAGAATATTGCCAAAAAAAGGACATTTATTTCAGGAGTATACCACCCTGTAGACATTCTCCTATTTACTCTTTTTTTGGCTGGATGGCCTAACAACACACAAGATTGTTTTACAATACATTTAACAAAATCTTCTCCGAGCAATGAAACATATATTGACTGTAGTATGTCTACATGCCTTTGTATTTCATACAGCACAACAAACACTGAACTAAATCTGTGCATAAAGAAGTTCTAAAATGGACTAGACAAACGTGTTGGTAATATACAATAGTTTGCAATCATTTGTATATGTCAAATTGTTTAATGCATTGATATAAAATTTGTTTGGATGTCATATCACACATGATCTCATCAGGTAACTATGTAAACGCAGTAAATAATGTCTCTGCTTTCTTTAATTCACGTTCAGTGTGATGCACACAATGATGCCAAACAGCAAAGTGACAAAGCTGTCTGAGATCAGATAGAACATTACAGACCAGCATGTTAGAGGTGAAGGCGATAACACCATCTCCAAGCATCATGATGGTAGACTAGAATATTTAAGTGGATTTTCTAAACGTAAATAGCAAACTAAAGCCTGAACACTATCTTGCAAAGCTTATAGCATATCTAAGCCCCACAGAAAAAAAAAATGTAATATATTGCAGCTTAGCAGTCCTTAGATGTGATGGCTGCATTAGTATACTAGATTAGCATTCTTCCCTTTACTTTCACTAGGGTGAAAACACTTTACATACTGTATCTATGAAGCAGAAGAGTTGATACCCTTAGCTACTGTCCTGATTTGGACTACAAACACCCCCTCTCAATCCGATGACATATGGAGGCGTTTTGTAGTTTACAAAAGATATTAGGAAAGCTGAAGTTTTTCGATACTTTAGTTCACTACACAGGAAGTTACAACGGCACACGATTTCTGATAAAATCAACAATTACGTTTTTATACTTGCGGAAAATGTACTTTTTTTCATTTTTTTAAATAAACATGTTATACTTGCCTGCTCTGTGCAGTGGTTTTGCACAGAGCAGCCCCAATCCCCCTCTTCATGGGTCCCTTGTCACTGCTCTTGGCCCCTCCCTCCAGCCGAGTGCCACCAAAGCAAGCAGCTTGCTATAGGGCACCAGAGCAGGCTCACTCCTAAGCCACTGCTCTGTGTCCATTCACACACTAGCATGGCTCAGTCCCCCCCACTCTCCCTTTAATGACTCACTGGCTGTGATTGACAGCAGTGGGAGCCAATGGCTCACAGCTAATGAGGAGGAAGAGTACTTGAAGAGCCGCTGCACTCGTGCTCATCTCTGGAAGGAGATGGGGCTCGGGTAAGTATTGGGGGGCTGCTGCACAGTGAAGGTTTTTTACCTCCATGTACAGCATGCATGAAGGTAAAAAAAAACATAATCCTTTACAACCACTTTAAACAAGAAAGCCAGCTCTGCCAGAACATCTAAGGGCTAGTAAGCTGTAATATATTACATTTTTATTCTTGAGTTTAGATACACTAAACATTTTTTTTTTCCTTTCGGGATAAAGATTTTAACTTGATTAATAAATGTTGGCCATTGTAAGCACCCCTGTCAGTGTTAAATGGAAGGGGTGTGGAAATTTTAGCAAAAAGTACTGTCCAGGAACTAAATCAGTATCCCAATCTACTTGTCCCTCATGACAATCTACTTATAAAAAAAATAAATAAATACATTTTAACCAAAACCGTATTTAAATCCAAGGTGATTTTTAGAATGTCTGGGGTTTTAAAAACAAAAAGCGGCTTTACGGCGACTTAAATGTGTAATAATTTTAACATTGCGCTGTTTATCGCCTCACCTCCCTTCCGGTCTCCAGCATCGCACCCGGGGACTAGCAGGGAGGGGCGAGACATCGCAGTGTAATGAGCACTGGTTGGCTGCTCATCAGGAAAGGGGAGTGTTGGGGCTTATTCTTTATTCCTTTCGTTTTTGCATGTTAAAAAAATCATTTTAGGCCTGAAGATTACATAAAACCCCCAAACATGATATATTTTCAGAAAGCAGAGACCCTACAGAATAAAATAGTGGTAGCTTTATTTTTTTATGTCGCATAATTAGCGCAAAATTATTTTTAGGGCATAAAAAGGCAATAAATTAAAAAAATTTTTGTAAAATACGAGGTTGCACTGAGTAAAACAGATATCCAACATGTCAAACCTTAAATTTGCAGGTGCTCGTGAAATGGCGACAAACTTCAGTACCCTTTATTTTCTATAGGCGGCACTTTTAAAGCCCCTTATAGGTCATCAGTATAGTGTTATGGAGGAGGACGGGTGCTAGAATTATTTCTCTCATCCTAGCATGCGCGGTGATATGGAACGTGCATCACAATTGACGTTTCCATGAGAGGCTGGCTCTGAGTGGAAGCAATCAGCGGCAGCGCTGCCGCCAGAATGCTTTCACCTGACAGGGCTACAGGTTGAGAAAAAAAAAAAAAAAAAATACCTGCCCGGCACCTGGAACTACAGGTCCTGGGCGTTGGCTGATATAAATTCAACATCCCTGTAAATGATTTATCTCAACCCTCTGCCACTTTCACAACAAAGCTCCATCTGAAGATAAAAATGGAGCGGCTTGTCAGCAGGATCAACAGATTATAAAAAAAATCTATTGTGGGGAAGGGGGGCTAGTTTCAATTTAGAATGTAAACAATCTCAATTCCACATGCCTGCATGAGGAAAAGCAACCCCAAGTGGAACAGAAGGAAGTATAGTGCAAAAGATAGACAAGGAGCCAAAGATTTTTGACAAGCCAAACCACTTCTGTATTCACAAATGGAAAAGTGTGGCTTAGAGGAAATAACACCTTACCAACTGTGAAACATGAAGGAGGCCCAATTACATTTGTTATTGATTTTGTTGCTTCTGGAACTGGGTTGCCTTTAATCTGAGCAGTGCCCAATGAAATAAAAATGTTTAGGAATTATGAAGGAAAGCATAAGCTATGTTTATTTAGCAGGTCTTTGGGTACTTAGACAGGATAACAAAAAAAAGAAAAAAGCACAGAGATATTGACCCCAGAATGGTTAAGAGTAATAAGTTGGACTGAAAAAAAAAAAAAAAAAAAAAAAAAAAAAAAAAAAAAGGTGCCATATTACCTGTTAAATGCTAAATTACTTTTTTTTTTAATTTTACATCATTTCAAAAGGAAATCTGGTTAAGTACCAACAAATTTGTCCATGAATACTGCTATAAGTGCAATACAAAAAAAAAAAAAAAAAAAGCACTGCATTGCAGACACTTACAAAATGCATTACAAACATACACAAAAAGCAGAACACAAATGCCTCTGTACTTTATTGATATAGCATTTTGTAAACTCTCCAGCCACCTGTACAAAATATTCAATTTCTTGAAAAAGAAAGTGGCACCAGTCCAGAGCAGTTCACAAGTTCAATGCACTAAATGACAATTTTCAAGAACAGTTAACAATAAAAAAGTTGGTAATGCCAAAACAGAGCAAAAAGCAAAAAAAAAAAAAAAAAAATGTATACTATATACCAAAAACAAATGGTAGATACCTAACCATCACAACTATTCTACATTCATAAAGTATACGAACAACCTTCCAGATTGAGTTTCCAGTATAAAATATTGTTTTAATGCAACAGCATTCCAAGACAATTGTCCACTTCCAACCTTGTGTCAAACAATTTGGGGGAAGACGTTCTGTTTTTGCATGACTGTGACCCATGTACAAAAAGCATCTCCATAAAGACATGGTTTGATGACAGCCATATGCAGAAACTTCAGGGGCCTACACACAGCCCTGACCTAAACTCTACTGAACAATTTCACGAAGGTCTGAAACCCTGATGGTGAGTCAGGTCTTCTTGTCCAAAATCATTACCAAACCTCACAAATGCTCTTTTGGACAAATATGCAGAAATCCCACCTCCTCCTAAGATGGACTAAGGATGTACAAAATCTTGTGGAATGTTGTCCTCAACACTGTAGACTGTTGTAGGAAGGAGTAACGAGGGAAGGGGCTCTATATTAACTGACTGCAAAACAAAAATACCGTATTTGAGCACCCGTTTCACACCATTTTGCATTTTAAAGCGGCTTCCTATTTTAACACACAAGTTTATACATGCTGTGAAGATTCTTATATTCCTGTGCATTTTTTTTTAGAACACGAGAGTTGAAACACATGCAAAATGGGTAAAATGCACAAAAACACGCGTTTTTTTAAATGAAAAGATATGAATCTCTTTTATGTCCCAAAGCCAATTAGGTACCTTCTCTTGAGTCACAGTACAATGATTCTGCCGGTGAGATGGATGGAGAAGCAGGTGTGACAGAATCTCTCTGCATTAAATCCCCTGCAACGGTCCGTGAGACTTGAGATAGAATTGTAAACTGCGAGGAGGAAGGTTCCTGTGTGGTGTATGTTTGCGAATGTTCTGTAGGAGGTTGTGGTGGCATGTGTGTGTATATGGGATGCTGCAAGTATGGTTGTGTAGTGTATGGTGTTGTGTTGTAATGGTATGTTGGAAGCTCAGGTGACACAAGCTACACGTGGACATAGCGATGCACTACTTGCATGATTTCCTGTTTGAGGGCTGACAGTCTATGTGGTGGTATTTGCCGAATGTCATACTCCAGGGAGCAGAGGAAACTAGCAATGTTGTCTTCTCTTTCTTCTTTGCGCCGGGACTCACGCAGTTGCTCCCTCAGCTCTCCCAACATTTTCATGATCACTGATGACACCAAGTCAATATCGGTGGTTTTCTTTTTTTGCTTCCTGAATTGCGGCACAAGAGGTTTCCCTGCCTGTTTGGATCCATCATCTGTGCTTGATGTTGACAGCAAAGGTGACGATCGACTTGATGTCGTATTCAATCCAGCTTCCCTGTCCTCTTCTCCCAACTTGTCTCGATTGGAGCCACGTGTATTGTCCTTCCTGTCAGCCACGATTCCTGAAGTTCTAAACATAAAAAAATCCACATTAAAATCTCGTGTTATAAGCCTATTGAAGAGCATTTCAATCTTTTTCTATCTTGGCAGACATTTTTAAAAAATCTCAAAAGCAACTCAGACATCGATCAAACCCAAAAGCATGCTAAAATTTAATGGGAAAGCACTCACCTCTTGCGTTTCATAACGGTCTTCAGGAACTGTAACGCCTCAAAATATGTTCGTGTCTTGACTTTCTTTGCGCCAGAACCACTTGGACGATTATCAATGTCACTTAGATCCTTCCTAAAATGGTCCCTTAAGGATATCCTCCTTATGTTTTTATGTTGCTTACTAAAATAAATAAAATTACAATTTATGTAAAACATTAACAAAAAGGTGCTAGAAGAAGCTGTAACATTTTAAATGCTTTTTAATTACATGGTTTATTTCTAATTGTAGATTTCTGTGATGATGACTCAATAGTTACATGGTTTGCTGCTTGTCTATATAATTTAGTTATATATTTCACAGATCCATACCCCTTTAGTTATATAGTATAATTATTAATACCTCTTTAGTTATATAGTTTTTAAAGTTTAATGATGTAGCCATATTTAGGGTGGCATGTGTAACAGCTCCTGCCACCAGTGTCCCCCCCATCCCCCCCTTGATGTGACAGAAGGTGGGGGATCCTCCTCTCACCCGCTGTCACAATTTAAACACAGTGGAACATGGACACGTCATTCATTCACACTTTCCGATGAATGGACAGACTACAACTATTGTCAGCCACAGCAGCTGATAGCTTGTAGTTCTGATTGAACTGCAAAGGAGTTAATGAGCACCCTTGTAGCTCGTTCGCAAGCCCTGCAGCTTTGTAACCGACAGCTCATATGCAGGTACAGGCTGAAAGCTGTGGGGCCTGTATGCAGAAGCCTGACCATTGCACCCCTGTTCCACTGATCACAGGTGCAATGCTTTCCAGGTTCTGCAGGAAAAAAGAATAAATGCACATTTTTTAAATATAATTTTTTCTTGAAAAGCTGAGCTTATCCTTTAAAGAATTCCAGATATGAATATTTTATACAGTTACTTTAGTCCAGCTTGGACCAATGTAACTATACATATACCAGCCCTCAAAATTTCCACTCGTCTGCTCGCATTTGGCGAGTGGAAATATTATGAGGGGGGGTGAGTCACTGAGTTCTCTCTGCAGGCCGGCTGGCTGGAGGACTCTCTCTGTGGGTCGGTGGGCAGGACGGGACAGGACAGGGCAGGAGGGAAGCGGTCTGAACACTGGTTGTGGTGAGTGGTCATTGGGCAGCCCGCTGCTGGAATAACCCCTCTCTACCGATAGGAAAATGTGTAGCCAAAGTCCCTCCCCCTCTCTGCTTCCCTGCCAAGGATATCACATTGCTATGGCTCTGCCCCCTGCTGACATCACTCCCATTCCAGCTGCTGTTGGTAAATACAGAAAACATTTGGCTTGTGTATCCTGCTGTGTGCCTTGTGCCAAGTTGGGTGCCCTGCTGTGTTCACTGTACAATGCTGTGTGCCTTGTACCATGCGGTGTGACCTGAGTCCTGCTGTGTGTCCTGTACCCTGCACCATTATCAGTGAGGCCATGAGGGATCTGTCAGTAGAGGACTGGAGGAGGACATGGGACTGGAGGAGGACATGGGACTGGAGGAGGAAGTGGGATGAAGGAGATAACAATGGAAGGAGGACATGGGATGGGGAGATGGGACTGGAGAAGGGCATGGGATGGAAGAGATGTTTACATTGCTTTATGTTAATATTGTTAAAGTTGCTGTTAATATTTATTTTTGTAACTTTATTCTGCATAAAACCTTTAACTGTCATTTCATGAAGTAATTTATGAGGGAGTATTTAGGGGCGGGACAGGGGCAAGGCTGCATGGGGCAGTAACTCTTAAGGCTTGGCTAGTAGCTCAGGACCTGAAATTTTGAGCCCTCTATATACTGTACCATACCTGGCCGATTCCCCTGCAAGCTTGAAATCACTGAAACAGACACCAGTACTCCACACCAGTACTCCAGTGATCTCCACTTGCTTCCAGGTTCAGTGCTGAGCAGCTGTCCTGCTATATTCTGAACACAGGAGGTCGGCCGCTTGGCATGGGTACCATTCAGAGAATGCTTTGCATTTTCTGACTGAATGCAAAGTATTCTCTAATTGGTGGAGATGAAAAGTGTGGCGTTACCAGCCCGCCTTTCCACCTCAAAACAGAGAGCACTTTGCATTTATTTAGAAAATGCAAAGCAAATCTCTGAACAGCGCCTGTTCTAGGAGGCCGACCTCCTGTTTCAGAATGCAGCATGGGAGTGGGAAGCAAATGGCGATCTCTGATGTAGTAATATCTACTGCAGTGAATTCCAGCTTCCAGGTACATCGACCAGGTATAGTATATTGTATAGTTACATTGGCCCAAGCTGGATGTAAGCGTGTATAAAATATTCATGCCTGGAATTCATGTTTAACATCGTGATGTTAAAAAAAAAAAAAAAAAGCTTATAATTATTATTACTCATTTTGCTTCTTTTTAGTAGACATGCTTTCCAAATATCTGGCCATACAGCCTGCATAATTCCACCCAGGCCTCTTTTCCTCCATAGGCATTGCTGTAGCTGGGGACAGTCGGGTCGTACAGATCAGAGAGCTACTCCACTTCTTTAATATGTGCAGTTACATTAATAGCAGCCATGCTGTTCAGCTAGCAGCCAATCAGGAAATGGCTGACATAGCTCTGGCTCTGAGGAAGAGGTTGTGTCCTCGAAACACGTTAGCCATCCAGGGTTCCATCGTATGGACTCAGATGTTGTTTGGATCATACATCTTGTTCAGTTTGACATGCCTGTGTTTTTATGTCTATTGCGAGTATGATACTTACTTTGTTTCTTCAATAAATATTTTAAACGATAATGCACTAGGTCGGTGCGCCCTTTTTCTGTTTCTCCATTTACAACTCTCCTGCAGCATTTCCCACTGAATTCTGGGGGAAACTTGATTCCTCCAGAATTTTTCCCCCCAGTGTCCTGTAAATTATTTCTAATCACACCTCAAATGTAGCATAAGCATTATAGGCACGTTTATGGCACCTTTTCATTAACATGAATGGAGATGGTTAAAGCGGAGCTCCACCCAAAAAGGGGAAGTTCAGCTTTAAGGACTGCTCCCCCGCTCCACATTAAGGATTGGCACCTTTGGGGGCAGGGCGCGGGTACCCGAATTTGACAGGTACCCACTCCCACTCCCGGTCCGATCGCCTAGGCAATCGGAAGGTGTCCTCCCTCTCTGTAGTCTTTTGGGACACGTGACAGAAGACTACAGGACCATTCATGAAGCGCAGTGCTACTCGTGCATGCGCAGTGGGTAACTGGCTGTGAAGCTGCAAGCTATCATAGCCGGATGCCCACACTGAAGATGCCAGCCTCTTGGAATACAGGATGGTCGGTGAAACAGGTTGTGGGGGACACACCACGGGACCAAGGGACAGGTAAGTGGCTGTTTTTTAAAAGTCAGCAGCTACAGTTTTTATAGCTGCTTTTATTTTTTGACAGCGTGAGTGGAACTCCACTTTAAGAAGTGGCAAAGTTGGCCGAACGCAATATGCAAGATAAATTTTGACACAATGTGAAGTGACGCAAACGCGGCTAAGTGTGCTACACTGTCAGCTGTTTATTTTGCAATTATGACTGAACACTGCTAGTAGGTCATGAAGATTTAAATACACAGCTAAACCGCCTGTTTTTTCCACTAGTGTGAACTTCACTAAACATGTATGAGCAGTTCTGTCATCATTATTCCTCATATATTCATCCCAGCAAGACTGGTGAAGCCTAATTCCACGTTTTCTGACTTCCACAACTACCGTATATACTCGAGTATAAGCCAACCCGAATATAAGCCGAGGTACCTAATTTTACCACAAAAAACTGGGAAAAACTATTGACTCGAGTATAAGCCCCATCATTAGTATCAGTGGGAGGAACAGTGCCCCATCATTGGTGTCAGTGGGAGGAACAGTGCCCCATCATTGGTGTCAGCGGGGGGGGACAGTGCCCCCATCATTGGTGTCAGGGGGGGGACAGTGCCCCATCATTGGTGTCAGCGGGGGGGGACAGTGCCCCATCATTGGTGTCAGCGGGGGGGGACAGTGCCCCATCATTGGTGTCAGCGGGGGGGAACAGTGCCCCATCATTGGTGTCAGCGGGGGGGGGGAACAGTGCCCCATCATTTGTCGGCGGCGGGGGGGAACAGTGCCCCATCATTGGTGTCGGCGGGGGGGAACAGTGCCCCATCATTGGTGTCGTCGGCGGGGGGAACAGTGCCCCATCATTGGTGTCGGCGGGGGGAACAGTGCCCCATCATTGGTGTCAGCGGGGGGGAACAGTGCCCCATCATTGGTGTCAGCGGGGGGGGGAACAGTGCCCCATCATTGGTGTCAGCGGGGGGAACAGTGCCCCATCATTGGTGTCAGCGGGGGGAACAGTGCCCCATCATTGGTGTCAGCGGGGGGAACAGTGCCCCATCATTGGTGTCAGCGGGGGGAACAGTGCCCCATCATTGGTGTCAGCGGGGGGAACAGTGCCCCATCATTGGTGTCAGCGGGGGGAACAGTGCCCCATCATTGGTGTCAGCGGGGGGAACAGTGCCCCATCATTGGGGTCAGCGGGGGGAACAGTGCCCCATCATTGGGGTCAGCGGGGGGAACAGTGCCCCATCATTGGGGTCAGCGGGGGGAACAGTGCCCCATCATTGGGGTCAGCGGGGGGAACAGTGCCCCATCATTGGGGTCAGCGGGGGGAACAGTGCCCCATCATTGGGGTCAGCGGGGGGAACAGTGCCCCATCATTGGTGTCAGCGGGGGGAATAGTGCCCCATCATTGGTGTTAGTGCCCCATCATTGGTGTCAGCGGGGGGAGGAATAGTGCCCCATCATTGGTGTCAGTGGGAGGAATAGTGCCCCATCATTGGTGTCAGTGGGAGGAATAGTGCCCCATCATTGGTGTCAGTGGGAGGAATAGTGCCCCATCATTGGTGTCAGTGGGAGGAATAGTGCCCCATCATTGGTGTCAGTGGGAGGAATAGTGCCCCATCATTGGTGTCAGTGGGAGGAATAATGCCCCATCATTAGTGTCAGTGGGAGGAATAGTGCCCCATCATTGGTGTCAGTGGGAGGAATAGTGCCCCATCGTTGGTGTCAGTGGGAGGAATAATGCCCCATCATTAGTATCAGTGACACCAATGATGCGGCACTATTCCTCCCACTGACACCAATGACACTTGCTGACCCCTGTTGCAGTATGGTGCTGCTGCTGCAGCCAGCA